TATATATATATATATATATTCTCTATCATATCAACTTTTAGTTTAAATATATATATATCTCTATATATATCTATAGATATATATATTCTCTATCTATATCTCTCTATCTATATCCCATCTCCCGCTCCTTTTGGCCACAAGAGGAGAACTTTATGTACTTAAAAATGTTGCCTTTCACAGGGAACAATTCATCACCAATTCTCCTGCTATATATGCAGCTGACTTTTCCAGCGAGATCTGCTCGTAACAGCATGGAGATAAAATAAATGGTTTGCTCGACAATTACTTCTTAACCTAGCTTTATTGTTCCTGCGAATGATTGTAGCGGTGAAAATTGCTGAAGGAATTATTGATTATCTCCACCTTCACAACCGTTTATGCTAGAAAACCAAACATGCTAAAGATTTCTGCCAGAATGAAGCTACCAGATAGCATTCGGTAAGAGGAGAGTTGCATAAATAGAGTGATTCTATTAGGCCGATTTTTGTCACATTTTAATGGATATCTGTGGGGTTTCCGCAAGATCTTTTTCCATTGGACAGCCTGCTAACATGAGATTTAATGTGACAAAGGCAGAGGCCAGTAGGGTAATAGAAATCTGCTACACCCAGTAGCATGCAAGACAGATTCCTGCACACTAAATGACCACCTTTGCAATCCATTACATCTTTCTATAATGAGAACGGAGAAGGCAAATCGGACATGAAATGTTATATTCATTTATAGCAACCAATGCAGGCCATGATTTTTGTGGTTTTTTTTTGTGTTTTTTTTTCTTTTGAGGTCTGTGAGAAGCATTCATATCTGTGGCACAAGGTTTCAGGTTACATTTTTTTTTATTCTATTACGTATGCTGGAAAATATCTCATCTTAACCTGCTCCATATTTATGACAAGCTTGTATTTAGGTGGATCTGTGCAGGGCTTTTAAATTAATTTCCCTTTTGTATTTATTTCAATTGTGTATATGGGCAATTCCAGTATTATAAATATTGCGTAAGATTTTTGCCAAGGATTCTATCTGTGCTTGCTCCTTCCTCCTCAATTCGATTTCTTCCCAGCATAGATTAGAATGAAAATGCTTTCATCTGTACCAGAGCTCTGGAACATTCACTTATCAGAATTCTGTATTGTGACTATCTATCAATTTAGATGGAGAGTAAAAAGTAGGGGATGGAAAAGAAACATTTTGCAGGGGCTAGGCCAGTGATTGCTTGATTAAAAAATGTCTGCTATGAATGGCATTAGGGTCAGTTTTACCCTGTTGTGTGCTACCGCAAGAATGTTAAAAACCTTGTCTAGTCTCTAAAGCTTTAAATCCAGCAGTAGAAGATGGCATATACTCACCTCCATGTCTCCTACCTCTTCTCTGTTAAAGCCTCTTGGACATTCAGCATTTCTGGGAGTTTTGCATGCCTGTGTCCCCTGACGTGTGCCATTTTTTTTTTTTCTTTCTTGCTAGTACATCACAGGACACAGGGAGTTCATTCTTTAACAAATGTGATATGCAGCTACCTTCAGGTGACACTGGCAAATCAGTCAAAGATGTAGGGCAGCCCTGTCCCACACACTTCATTTGTAAAATCATAAAACAGGAATTGAATCTGATAACACACAGACTATTTTTCTGTGATTTAATTCTTTAGTCAGCGTTTAGCCTTCATTTCAAATGACATATAAAGTGCCTTGTGAAAGTATTCACCCCCTTGGTTTTTTTCCTGTATTATTGCCTTACAACCTGGAGATTAGATGGATTTTTGGAAGGTTTGTACCATGTGATGTACACAACATGCCTACCACTTTGTAAGGGCAAAATACATTTTATTGTGACACAAACCAAAATGAAGACAAAAAAAACCAAAACAATTCTTGTTTGCATAAGTATTCAATACTTTGCGGGTTCGCCATTTCAGAAAATACAGCTGCAAGTCTCTTGGGGTATGTCTCTATTTACTAGCTTAGCACATCCTGCCACTGGGATTTTTGGCCATTATTTAAGGCAAAACTGCTGCAGCTCCTTCAAGTTGGATGGATTGCAGTGGTGTACAGCAATCTTAGTCATGTCACTAATTCTCAATTGGATTGAGACTTGGGCTTTGACTAGGCCATTCCATGACATTTAATGGCTCCCTTTAAATTTCTCCAGTGTAGCTTTAGCAGTATGTTTAGAGTCATTGGCTTGCTGGAAGGTGAACCTCCAACCCAGTTTCAAATGCGTGGCAGACTAAAAGAGGTTTTCTTACATAGTCAGGTTGAAAAAAGACAAAGTCCATCGAGTTCAACCTATAGAGATACGGAGAATTGTCCTGTATTTAGTAGGGATGTGCCATAATTTCGGCCGCCGAAACAGTTTAAAAAGCCAAAAGTACAATTTATTTTCGCCGAAAATGCGGTGCATCTCTTGTTTTTCTCTTCCCTGCTGGGCACTGCTTAGTATCCACTCTGATCCCCACTGCTCCCCCCTCCTGTGTTGGCAGAGGCCGCAGGGATCAGTGGGGACAGAGCAGCGCCCAGCGGGGAGGAAAGAAAATTTCAGGATGTCAGGCGGGAAGGAGAGCGTTGTTGTGGAGCTCTCCTGCACCGCACCACTCGACTTCCTGTGACAAGGAAATCAGGATGGAGAGTGGTGCAGGGAGGAGACAGCTGTCACAGAAGGCGGTGTGGGAAGGAGATCAGCGGTGTTTCAGGAGTCCGAGCTCTCCTCCCCGCACCTATTGCTCAGCCTCCTATGACAGGTGAGTCAGGGTGGACGGCGGTATACACACACTCGGCAAACAGCTAACCGCTGAGTGTAAATAACTGAGGATATAGTACATTTGCTGTGTCCCTAATTATGAGTGAATAAGAAGTGCTCTAGATCACTTCCTGTTCATTCATGATTGTGGACATAGTAACTCATACTATCTCCACAGTTTATGAATGGACTGGAGCAATCAGTATAGTCTCTTCCTGTTTTATTCATAACAGGGGCTGCAGAAAAAGGTTTAGGACTCAATCACTTTTACTATTTTAAAAGGGAAACATCAGGGGTCTGTTTAGACCCCTGGTATTTCCCCAAAGCCCCTAACGGTTATGTTTCTATCTATCTATCTTTTTTTTTTTTTTTTTTTAAAAAAAGCTTAGAAAAAAAAGCTGGGGGTTTTGGTTTAAAAAATATTCTATCTTGGTGCACCTTTTTAATATTTTAGTGCCATGCATTTTTTTTCCTTCAATCCTGTAACAGTTTTCCAGTCCCTGCCAAGGAAAAGCATTCTCACTGTATGATGCTTCCCCCACCATGCTTCACTGTGGGGATGGTGTTCCCAGAGTGATGGGAATGGTATTGGGATTGTGCCACATAGAGTTCCCCATAATGGCCAAAAAGTCTCATCTGGCCAGAGAACCTACTTCCATGTGTTTAGGAAGTCTGCCACATGCTGTTTGGCGAACTCCAAATGTGTATTCTTATTATTTATTTATTTTTCTTTTAGCAATGGCATTTGTTGGCGACTCTTCCATAAAGCTAAAAGTGGTCCATTGAACAGATACCTCCATCTCTGCTGTGGATCTTTGGAGCTTCTTCAGTGTTCTCTTTTGGGGTTTTTATTGCATCTCTGATCTGATCCCTTTTTGCTCGGTCTGTGAGAACAGATGTATTTATAGTGACATCATGTGGCAGATCATGTGACACTTAGATTGCACCAAGCTGGTCTTTTTTCAACTAATTAAGCGACTTCTGAAGTTAATTGGTTGGTCCACATATTATTTTGGGGTTTAATAGCGGAGAATTAATACTTTTTCACACTCAAGATTTTGTTGTTCTTTATGTCATACTTATTTTGTGTCACAGTAAAAATTATTTTTCGCACCTACAAAGTGGTAGGCATGTAGTGTACATCACATTGTAGAAAGCGCCAAAAAATCAATTTTAATTCCAGGTTGCAATGTAACAAAACAAGAAAAACACCAAGGGGGGTTAATAAGACCTTCAGTCCATTTACAGTCTACTTTTATTTGCTATGACCTAGAAGTGGAAAGCGATGGCTAACAATGGATCAACAGAATGAAAGTGGACGGTCTTTCTTCCACTTCCCATTGGCTGCAGTGTAAATATTTAAACATCTGCACAATTAGAACTGCAGTGTCTTGTATTTTTAGAACAGGAAAGGGAAGGAAGACCTTATGAAAATGTTTATAGGGGCTAAGTTAGGGCCTATTCACATCATAGTGTTGCATTAATCGCACAGCACACCACAGCCTTGTGTTTGTGTGTACCGCAATACCTTGTTGCAGTGTGTTGAAAAAAAAGTGCATGTACTTTTTACTGCAAAGTACAGTATTGCCATACTGCGCGATGCTTTGAAACACATGACTGCTGGGAGATGCATTAACGTGCCAATAAGTGAATAGTAATGCACACGGTAATGCAATTAATGCAACCCTATTATGTGATGCAACGCTATGGGGTGAACGGGCTCTAAAAAAACCCCCAACTGTGCTGAAGTTTGTTCCTGCTTAATAAATTGGGGGGTTATGGATCTTCAACCTGATGAAAAAAATGTCTGTGTTGTGGTCCTTAGCCTAAGTTTTAGGATGTTTGCTGCCTGCAGTAATATATGTATTTTCTCGTTTACAGGTTTTGAACTCACCTTTTACTCTGGTGTGTTTGGCACTTGTATTGGAGCAATCAACTGGTTCGGAGCTGATGCTAAAAGTTTAATTGGGCTTTCCGGAATATTTGTTGGCCTTGGAGAAGTTTTAGGTTGGTGTTTTTCATACCAGTTCTTATTTGCTTTAAGCGAGTGGGCTTTATGAGCTTTATCTCTAAATGGAAAGCTTTCCAGGAACTCTGTCACTGATGGAACAAAAAAGAAAAGGTACTTTTTCTGAGTAGACAAAGAAAGTCTTTAACCTATGGGTTAAAATGCGGCCCACAGGAGGATTGGACACTGGCTAATGAAAAAAAACTGTAGGATAGCCCAGAATAAACCCCTCTTAGTACCAGCATGCCTCAGTTTTTGCTAGTGTCCTAGGAGGATGGACATTTTTTGTACAAAGTTCCTTTTAAAGGTTTACACTAGTTTTTTTATTTTTTTTATTTACATATCCTTCATTCTTCCTTATCTTATTCCTTCCCCCTTCTCGCTCCTCTCGCGCCTCCTTTCCCCTCTGGCTCTTCTCGTGCCTCCTTTCCCCTCTGGCTCTTCTCGTGCCTCCTTTCCCCTCTGGCTCTTCTCGTGCCTCCTTTCCCCTCTGGCTCTTCTCTTGCCTCCTTTCCCCTCTGGCTCTTCTCGTGCCTCCTTTCCCCTCTGGCTCTTCTCGTGCCTCCTTTCCCCTCTGGCTCTTCTCGTGCCTCCTTTCCCCTCTGGCTCTTCTCGCGCCTCCTTTCCCCTCTGGCTCTTCTCGCGCCTCCTTTCCCTCTCATATAACTTTATACACTTTTTGGTAATTGTCACAGGTTCACTTTAAGAAAACTAATTTGACTTTCAGACTTAACCACCTTTGCTGTGTTTTCTGGACATTTTCATTAGTTCACAGATTGTATTGACTTGTTGCATAGAAATGCTCTTTTAAATACGAAAGCTAAGCATTTTCTGGAAGCCTTCCAGCTGTGTGAAAACTCATTCTTATACTGCAAGCTGATTAAAAATTTCCCTGTCTACTTTATAGGTGGTGCAGTCTTTGGATTACTCAGCAAGAATAGTCGCTTTGGCAGAAATCCAGTCTTTCTATTTGGTCTTGTTGTTCATTTTCTAGCTTTCTACCTGATCTTCCTTAGTATTCCTGCTGACGCCCCTATCGCCTCTCGTGATGGAACATACAGTCGGGCATATGTAGATCCTAGGTAGGAAATTTACTTTTTCAAATACATTTAATTTTATAATATTAAAACATTTTATTTTATAATTTTACATTTTGGACCTTTCTCACATATTATTTAGAGACCATCAATGTATTTTGCAGCTCTTTATAGAGAGTAAGTCACTTCAGTTCTTGTCCCAGAGGAGCGAACAGTCTACTGTCCTAACTACAGTCATGCATACTCTAGAGCCCCTTTGGTCAGAAGCCGCTTAAGTTATTAATTGGAATACAGAAAAACCCACACAAACCCATAGAGAATGTACAGACTTGATGCTGATAGTATCCCTTGAATCTAGGATGCCAATACTGCAAGACACAAGTGTTAACCATGTATCCTGTATGCATAGTTGTGTAGTATTACAAGCAAAAAATAAAAACCTCTATACCTGAACTATTAAAGGAGAACTATGAGGTGAGTGCTTTTCAAGGCTTTCTCAATTCTGAATTGAGAAAGCCGGTGGATGACTAGTGAAACGTCTTCAAGAAATATACAGCAAGTCCAGTTGCCTTGACTTATTTTTCTTTTTACAGATATTAAACAGGATGAAGTACAGCTTCTGTTCTGAGTAGTAGCTAATTAGATGTTGGCTGTCATTTTTTGGGCAGCATTGACGCCATCTCCAGTCTTAAAAACCCAGCAAAGTCTTAGCTATGCATCCCAAGAGCCCTAACATTCCGTAGACTCAGTGTTGCAATAAAAAGCTAAACAAGTTATATAGGTACAAAATAGAAATGTTAAAGCAACTTGTATGTACATAATATGGAAGTTCAGATAAACCCAGTTCCCTGAAAGTAATTACTTGCCTCTCCTGCTTGTGTTGCTTAATACTGCTCCATTTCAAGAGGAATAGCCGGATGCGATCTGTGCATAAATGGACACTTCTTCTAGTGTCCCATCTCCCATTGCTCTCAGTGGTTCCTTCCGCTGACCCCATTGTCTTTTCTATGTTCTGTAGTGACATGGGGGTGGCTGGAAAGAACCACTGAGTATTGTGGGGTTGTTGGTTCCTGCACAGACTTAAGCTGGCCATACACCTTACAATTATCTGCAGATTTTCTATGGTCAGATGGAAAAGGTGCAACTGATTCCTCCATCTACACTACACTGTGTGGATGGAGTAATCTTCACCTGGGCCAATCTGTTGCACTTTTTCCATCTGACCACAGAAAATCTGCAGATAATTGTAAGGTGTATGGGCACCTTTTAAGCTGGTTATCCCATTTGATTGGCACTGTGTTCAGCCACAGGGAGGTAAGTATTTAACTTTAATTGGACTTTATATTGCTGACAGTCGCTTCAACCATTTGTCTTGTAATAGACTATCTTGAAAACTTCAGGAGCACTTAAATGCATAGCAGTTAAAAAATATGTCATAATATCCATTAAGGAGTCTACCCAGCAATCAGATCTGAGCTACTGCAGTAGTCATAAGAGAACACTAATCTTTAAGCAAGCTGTTCAGAATCGAAAGGAAATGTGTACCAAATAAAATACATGGATTACCATTGATGACATTCTGAAAATTCTAGTCGCTTGACTGTTTCTTGCTTCAATATTCTGAGTCACTGACCCGGAACAAGCATGCAGTTGAAGAAGTTCAGGTAAAGTCCAAACTCCTGATTTGCATACCGGGGTCAGTGACCTCAATAGTGAAGCCCAAGAATTGGCATGACATTCAAGCCACTTGCATTTTCGGAAGACGTGGTTGGCAGTGGATGCCTCCATAGTCCTCTCAGCATTAATAAATATATATATATATATATATTGGGTAGTAAGCCGTATTAGTCCAGTAGACAAGATGTCAAAAAAGACAAAAACGCAGTATTGCAGTGTGCAATGATACCTTTCTTATTGGACTAACAAAATATGTAAAAGACAAGCTTTCGAGAGTGAACCTCTCTTCAGGTCAGAAGCAAAAAGGTGCCCATACACCTTACAATTATCTGCAGGAATGAAGATAAAGTAAAACCCTAAATGTTATATATTTTTTGAAAGCAGAAACCCTGTGGAATAAAAATTTTAATGCTATACAATCTTAGTGCCACTGTTTATCAATCTTATATTTTCACTTTCTAAAATTCAAATTGGACAATGTGCCAAGTAAATAGATACGAAACATGTTAAGTCTTAAAATTGCTGACCACAAGTCGCGACCCTATGTGGTATCCCAAGCAAAGTCACGTGTGTTATGGCACATTGGCAGTGACAGGTCCTCTTCAAGGAGACCTTAGGGGTCTAAAACACCCCTAATGTCACCTTTGTACAGTATTTAAATGAAGCTTCATGACCACTGTGGCTGGGTTTCGTCACTTCCCGCTAAATTCACTGAGTCTCTGTGTGTGTTGTAAATTAACCAAAGCTCCCTCCCATGATGGACTACATTCTCAATACAAATTAGTAAACTGAACATGAATATGTAGCCCATCACGAGAAAATTAAAAAGCAACAGATATGGAAGTGCACTACTGGTGTATGTACATACTGCTGGGTGCTGTACACTGGGGAGTGGTGTGCAAGCTTCTTCAAAACAGGAGAGGAACCCTTAAAACAGGGAGAGCGCAACTACCTAACAGGGTATTGTAAAGCCTGATGTGACTGGCTAAAAAACTGAGGTAAATGGGCCGTTACTTACAGTTGGGATGTCCCACAGTAGTATGACATCACAGGTCTCTTGGTGTTGTCAAGTCTCCGGCAGGCGTTGGGTGGCTGCCGGACTGAATCTGGGGGGTGTGATCTCTCGCCAGCCCACATACTCGGCTGGCCAGGCCGAGCCGCGGCAGCTGGAGAAGGAGAGAGGTGGATGTCGGCCAGCCGAGTACGTGTTATGTAGTTGCGCTATCCAGTTAAGTGTAAATCTGAAAGTCCATCACGAGAGTGAGCTTGGAGTGGTGGCTACTTTACAACACACACAAGGACCATGGGAAACCAAAGTAGCCACCCTCCAGAAGGAAGGACAGCGTCAGCACCAATTCAGAGATGATTTGAGGATCTACAGCCGAGTGATACACAAATAAGGTACATTTTTGTTAATGGTTAAGGTCCTTGAATGTATTTTTAAGATTTAACTGCTGAGTTTAGTGTCCTATTAAGGTTGCTGTGGAGGGCTAGGACCAAAGACTATCCACTGAGTAACTGTAGGAAAGCTGATTATTTTCAATCTTGCTAGCAGAATGTGTAGAAAACTCAGTTATTGTTATTCGGCAAACATTAGTTGCAACAACAGCAGCAGATTGCGAGGAGGTTTATTGAAGGCAATCAGTTTAGGAAATCAATAGGTATATTCAGGTTAAAAATGTAGCTTTTCTTTTTTATTTAAAGAGCAGCTGAGTCACATCTAACCATTGCTGATTTGTTTTTTTTGTTTCCTGTAGCAAAATCCTGTCTATGTTCTGCAGCTTTCTGTTGGGTTTAGGAGACAGCTGCTTCAACACTCAGCTTCTCAGTATTTTGGGAACTCTGTACTCCGATGACAGTGCTCCCGCTTTTGCGATATTCAAATTTGTGCAGGTAAGAAATGTGAGAACTCGCTCGTGTATGTATAAACCTGCATGAAGATAAATGCTATACAAATATTTTTCTCTGCCGGTTTAAAGGGATGTGTAGTGGTTTTGTTTTTTCTTTCTTTTAAAGACTAAAAATGAAAATTGTTACTTTTTTTTTCATCAAAGATATATAAATATTAAATATTATTTTCTATTTTTTTTTAAGCCTCTAGGTAAAGCTTTAAATTACTTTTCAAATTTTCTGGTATCTTTCTATAACAATCCTGTTTATATTGCTCAGTAGCTAAAGCTGAAATTTATACACACAAGTTAATGAGTCAGAGCAGTGACTCCGCCCTCATCAAATGTGCCCATTCAGAATTTCAGTGAGAGACTGCTTGCCTGGAAGATGAACAATCCTGTGTTCTCTTTAGCAACCTATATAGCAATAGGTAAACAGATGTAAAATCTCAGAATTGAACCAGAGGAAATCGGTTTCCCTTCAATAAAAGTAACAAAAAATTCTAAATGTTATGGTATGGGGTAACCATTCTCTAGACAAACTTTCTAGAAGTTCTAGACAATTTGTATAGCGCTGACAATTTACGCAGCACTTTACATAGTGGCTTATTATTTATTTATTATTATACAGGATTTCTATAGCACCAACAGTTTGCGCAGTGCTTTACAATATAAGGAAGACATTACAATCACAATACAATTCAAGACAAGATGGTAAGGAGGACCCTGCCCATTCACATCAGTCCCTGCCCTTAAGGAGCTTACAATCTAAGGTCCCTATCTCACATGACTACATACAGGGCAGATTTAGACAGGAGCCAATAAACCTACCAGCATGTCTGTGGAGTGTGGGAGGAAACCGGAGTACCCGGTGGAAACCCACGCTAGCACAAGAAGAACATGCAAACTCCTTGAACCAGAGACCACCACTGCTGCAAGGCAGAAGCGCTAACCACTACACCACTGTGCTGCCTGCTACAGAGCTGCTGCAGGCATATAGGGTGGATGATGCCTAAGCTGTCATCATGTTAGCCACACACCTAGCAATTTTCAGGTAATTCCAACCACATCCATCTGCTTTCAACAAGCAAAAATGTATTTATTTTTAAATGAATGGATGAAAAAAACCTTCCACCAATACTTTTAGATCTTTTTCGGTATTCATAGAAACTCTGTAGGTTACATATGTGCTTTTGCTCATTGGTGCAATTGTAAACTGGTTGAAAGTAAGAAATACTGTCATATTTATGGCTAGCATTAGGCACTGCTAGTCTGGAGGCCTCTGTACGGTGGTGTTAGAGACATTGTCACTTTGCCCATTTAGGGCCCGCCCAGATATAGAAAATCTCTATACCCGTCAGTGCCATCCAGGGGTGCTAGTGCCGTGCAAATGTCATCCCACCCAGCTTATTGCTTTATAACTTATATAAACGAGCCCATGAGTGATTTTCCGCAATCATAAAATACCAGGTGATCCTGCCAGTCCCCCTTCCTTCTCTTGTAAACTGACCACGCCAAGTATGGAAGCATGTCCGTGGTTGTGTGGTCAGTTTACTTCCCGGGCTTGCTGTAAGGAGGTGCTGGACACTGTGCTGACACACGACTTGCCCAGCCCTGTCTTACCAGGAACAACCCCTCCCTGTTTGTAACCGACCATGCAAGCCACGGTAGCAGATCCATCCTAGCATAAATGTAAAGTCTGAATACAGGTGCCACCCACCTCATGCAGCCTTCCACTATGTGAGTGAAAGCGATTTCTGGCAGAGATTGCCTAGGGATGTCAGTCATCTTTGTATCTCTGCCTACACCCCAAGAACACATGTGCATTGAGATGAAGTTCTTGTTACATTTGTGACTTCTGCAGAAGCCACAGAGCATCTTTAGTTTCTGCTCCAAGTAGAGGAAGGCGCCCATGCAGTCACATGTCTGCCACAAAAAACACCATAACGTGTTATTTCCTCTTTTTTGGGGGGCTATGGGTTTACTAATGTTGCCTAGTGCCTGCTTGTTATAATAACACCTTTGCATTTGCATATACTTTAATTGGTGTATTTAGAAAAAAAAGAGCTACTAGTTATGTACAACTGCATGCATGAATGGGCAAAATTGAATCTTAGTCTTTTTTAATTATTTTTTTCTCTGCAGGTTAAAGGTTATTCATTCATACGTAGTAAATCGGGAACATACCACATCATGGCCACTAATTGGAGCTAAGAATCATAGGAAATGCCTATTTCTAACTTGATTCTCAACTCCCTCTATTGACCATAGTATGGTATTTTACTGATTTACTCAATTCTTGATTTAATGAGTAACATTCAACCTGGAGAGAAAAAAGCCTAACAACATTCACTTCTGCCCCCTTCACACGGAACTAGGGATGCACTGATACCAGTTCAGATACCAGTGCGGATACTTGGCATTTTCACAAGAACTACCGGGGTTGCAGCTGGGACCTGGCTCCACCACTGTCCTGAAATCATTAGTCTGTATTGTTTTAGAAAAACGGTCACATGACAATAAACAAAAATGTATCAGTACTTGTATCTGTGAGTACTTGGACAAATATCAGTACTTGGAAAAATGGTATCGGTGCATCCCTTATATATATTTATAAAAAAAAAAATAATGCATTAAAATGGGGATGTACAAATCCCAGGAGCTCTGTGTGCTCCTTGAAAATGAAAGCTGCCTCCTAACTTTTTAATTTTTCTCTAGTCTTGGAGCTGGAAAAGTATCTGTACTTTGTACTGATACTTGGTACTTGGTATCTGAACATCCCTACACAGAACAAATGTGCATGTAGTTTCACAGAACGAATAGCTCTGCAGCCTTTTTTAGAAATACCCCCCTAAGTGTGATACCTCTTCCAGGTATGCATAAGCCTGAAGTAGGCTATACATGCAGCAAATTTCATCCGGTTCCTGATGAACCAACCGAAATTTGCACAGTGGGTGCCGCTGTCAGCACCCTTCTGCCTTGCATCCCTCAATCAGCTGATCTAAGGCTGGGTTCACACCTAGGCGGATTGAATATTCGCGTCTGTCGCGCGGTTCGCGTTGCGCGTTTTTATCGCGATTCGCTGTAAAAAAAAACACGCGTCAAACGCGCGTTTCCGAGGGCTACTTGGCTGTTTCCCAATGGAAACGCCCGACCGAAACGCCCCAAAGAAGTACATGTACTTCTTTGGGCGTAGGGCGGTTTCCCGCTCGTTTGTACTCACGGAAAAACGCCCAGATGGGAACCATGCACATTGAAAATAATGGCATTTCCCTGTTTGAGCGTTTTTCCGCGAGTACGAAAGCGCGGAAAAACGCCCAGGTGGGAACCAGGCCTGAGGAGCCAGTTGGAAAATTCTCGGCTGAAGGGAGCTAACAGCCAGTCATCTGGAGGCTCCGTTCAGGTCTTCTGACAGTGGCCGCTGTCAGAATGAAATAGAAACGGCAGGGGATTTTACAATCAGTAATCTGTTATATTTTTATTTTTCCATTCAGCCCGCAGGTTGAACGAAAAATATAGAACCATGTATACCCGGCTAAAGGTTCCTTTTACTATGCAAGGGTATCTCTGAGCAGTGTCCAGCTTTGGCACAAACATTTACTAGGACAGGTAGAGTAGGCATATAATTACTTATTTCCACTGCTGTAGCACTTTCATTGTAAAGAAATGTGATTATCATATGATTAGAGTACAGTTGCACTTAGAAATATTTTGGATAGAAAGGTCTAACTGATGATCGAATACATTTGGATTATACATAAGCAATCAATGTGGAATTTTACATTGTGAACGTAGTAATCAGCCAGTCACTTCGTGATTAACACGTATCTGTTAATGATTTTTCTGAGTACACATATTTATAGAAATGTTAGTGATTCATGAAAAGCAGATGTACGGTAATGAACTATGTCAGTAACACTCTTGTCTCTCCCCCTGTTATTCAGTCTATCACCGCAGCTGTTGCATTCTTTTATAGCAACTACCTCCTCCTGCAGTGGCAGCTGTTAATCATGGTGATATTTGGATTCTTTGGCACCATCTCCTTTTTCTTTGTGGAATGGGCAACGGTCAGCTTGGATCCACAAGAGACCCGCTACGGCAGTATTTGATGAAGACGCATTGCACGGCAGCTGCTGGTTAACAGAGTGAAGAGGCTCAGAATTTGTCTGGCACTTGAGCGGTTAATTAAACATTTGGATCTGCGCTGGCCGCAGGGCATTCCCTAGAGCTACTCTGTACTACTTTTCGGATTCGGGACAACATTGACGTGACCATAATGCACTCCATCCCCAGCGTCTTCTGGGGCAGAGAAAACATATGGCAGTGGTTCACAGACATTGCCGGTGCAATAGCTGCTACACTCCTTTTGCCTGCTGTTATTACTTGATCATGTTTATCACCTGCCAATTATGAAGTCTGATTATTCACATCCCTTTGATCACTGAATGCAATGAACTTGATCAGACACCACACTTCTTGCCCTTTTTACCATGTGATATTTTAATGACCGTTTTATAAATGGGAGTGGGGCTTACCACACATTGACTATATAGCTAAAAAAAAATACTTGACAGCAAATTTGCTGTTCTATCCAATTTTGGAATTTGTGATGGTTCCCCTTAAAGAATGTATAGTTAGCTTTTTATTTCGGCCGTCATCCAAAGTTTTTGATATGTTTTTACACTGCTCTTGCTATTCTGTAAATTGTTTGCACTCAGGTCTTTTTAAAAACTGCTAATGTGATGTATTTGTTTTATATTTCGATGAAACCAGCAAGACCACACTGAGCTTGATGGCCTGTTGTTTTAATAAAGTGTCTGATGAGAAGGGAGGGTGATGTGCATAGCAGCCAATTTGCTTCTAGCTCTCATTCTACTACTATTTAGTGCAAGACCACACGGGTTATTGTCAATAATCTCAGTCTCACTAATATTAGCAAACGATTCATTGCTACACAGATGAAACAAAAGGCTCTCCACTGGACGAGCTACACAAGTAGCGATTAAGCACCCAATGCTATGGTATACCAGTTCACACAGTAGGGAACCATTCCATCTCCATAATGATTAAGCGATAGTCGAGGGATTGAGTTTCTATAAATGAAATGTGTGCTCCCGCACTTAAAGCCCAACTGTAGCTTTCTGCAAAATGTAATAGAGAAATGTCTTGTGTGTTCTTCAATTGAGCCCCAGCGCTGGCCCAAAAGACTGCATCCCCTGCAGCAGGCTGAAGATGAGGACTGTTCTCTGTATGACAACAGTATACTATCACCAGTGTTCAACACACCCCATGTTCAGTCACAACTACCTCGAGCATTGCTGATTGGAAAGCAGTATTTCTCACTGTGTTGATCTATATTTTGTTGAAAGCTACAGTTGGGCTTTGAAGTATCAAACTGCTTTTTTTTTTTTGGTTGAGGCTGGAATTACCTATAAGTACCTTTTTTATATCTCTTAGGTTTTTAGCACTTAGGTCTGCACATCTAGTGTGGTCATTATAAAGGGTTTCCCACTATTCTACTTGAAATTTTAAATTATAGTTTTAGAACTTGACTGGCCCATTTTTTCCCCACTCAGCGGGGGACTATAATTTTGATGCATCTTGTTCTGGGGGTCCAGTTTGGCACTAGTTCTGTTGCTTTCAAAAACGACATTCCCAAATCATTCCTATACAACTTGGTTCTTGAGAGCCTAAATCTTTTTTTTTTTTTTCGTGGCAATAAGAAGCAAGACTTACTACACTAAACAAAATTACCTTATGGATGAAGTTCTTGGCCTGTATGCAGACCTTGGAAACTTGATTTAAGGTGCCCATACACTGTTCTAATTTTGTTAATGTACTAGCTGAAATTTGCACAGTTTGTGGGGCTGTCTGCTCCCTTTCAGCCGGTGTTCCCTGATTAGCTGCTTGAAGGAGTCGGCTGGAAAATATTTGACCGATCATTGCTGGCAGCAAATGATTGCCCACCCTGATCAGGTATTCTGATAAGTGCTAGTGGCACCTGTCAGAATACAATGTAAACAGCAGGATTCCTCGATCGACATGCTGTTTGTGTTGGTGGAGGAATTGGGTCACAGGTTGAATGAAAAAAAATTGATAGGTGTATGGGCAGCCAAGCCAAGGGACTAAAAAAACGATCCGGGGACCATGTGTGAGGTCTTGATCTAAAGGCTTTTTTTCCTAATTGGAAATACTGTGGTTGCTATGGATAACGCCTGATTCCTTCCCATCAGTCACTTTCTATACATGAGGCCCAGTGTAAGTGTTTGGATTCCATGATCTAATAGTTTGTCTTGGTGGGTGCATTTGTCTCGCTTTTCTCCTATTCTAAAGATCTATCAAAGGGTCCCTGTGGGTACCACAAAGGAGAGATGACAAGCTTTTATGTTCCATTCATCTTCTAGGTCACATTTATGTATCTTTGCTCTAGGAAGGCTTTTGAAATCCAAGTTGAAGCTGTAAATCTGCTTATCTCCTCTGTGCCATAGGCAAAATACAAGAAGGTGTTTATCACCTGAGGAAAAAAGTAAAATTCTGCATTATAAATACTAGTAGTCATCACTTTAGGCATATGACAGAGGGCAAATCAAACCATTTAATGCCGATTTTATGAGTTTTAGGGATTTACTGCTAAATAAATTAGTGCTGACCTGCACAAATAATAATTGGGTTGCACAAGAGCCTCATTTGAATGCTCTATAATGTTTCAGGCAACAGTTTCAACATGTTCATTTCACATTTGAGGATTATCAGGTTGCATTGCAAAAAACCCTTTTGTCTTAGTTGGCAAAAGTGTGAATAACAAGGGGACAATGTTCCCATTGATGTTTCTAAGGGACCCCATTGTGTTCCTATATCAGAGATCCCAAGCTGATCAGGAAGATCTCTATATAATGTGAAAATTCTTTGTAAAGCCGACCTAGACACAAGTGTTATCCTAAAGTGCCCCATGGGCTACTCTCTGCTTGTAAATAGGCATCATCAGTTGCTTGCACACATTTTTAGTTTCTTTTCAAAGAGTCATAGGGACCCTAAAGTCCAATCTACCCCTAAAGCACTCCATTTTGCAAATTATGATCAGACCATGTTTCTACTGCGGTCTTCCGCCCTCGCTGCCTCTTTGTTGGTCCATAAATGTGATTGATGTCTGGACCAGCATGGCGATCAGTATGGGGTGAGTCACAGTTCAGCCATGCAATGTCTGGTCATATTTTGCATGATAGACTAACTGAAACCCAAGGATGAACTAGTCGATACTACACTAAAGGATGTAAGGGAATTTGAAGGCATTTTGTGGGTATTGTTCCCAGGCTTGCTAGGGTGCACAAATGAAGAGCTAAAAAGTATTCCTGGAGAAGATGCTGCTATTGACTTCCTCCAGTCCCCAGCATGTAACCAAACATATGTATTTAGTAATTTCTACTAAAGGAGAGAATCAGTCAGTCTGGACTCCAATCATCTCTTTTTAATTAGGGCTCATGTGCTTAGCGCTGCAAGGAGTCTGGTGCAACATTTTTCCAGGATAGTTAAATATTTCAGCTTTTCTTTTGCTCTCTATCCATTCTCGAACATTTTTCCAATTTTGCCTTAAAGGGAACTATAGTGGTTTTAGGACAATTTTATGTGAAGGATAAATGTACTGTTAAAATACATTTGCTGTTTTAATAATATATCCATGGAGACCAATGCCTGTGTGTTGTTTTGTTTGTATAGTGTTGAGAGGCTCAATGTAATGCAGAGAGCATCATAATTGCAGACAAGGACCAAGACAGGTTGGTGTGTGCTCCATAGACCTGTTAGATTTAATGCCAGGAGCCATTAATTATTATTTCTATGTTTTTCAATTTCATATGATCACTGAAGAAAAAAAGGCAACTTCCAGCCTATTCCCTTATCACGTGTGATTCCAAAATTGTGAAAAGCAGGATTTACATCTAGACTGACTCTTGATCAGAACCTTTATATATTATAATATTGGTTTGTAGTCTTGTTCCTTTGAAGATTAAAGGTGCCAATGCAAACTCCTGTTGGGGAATCTCCCACTAACGGTTTTTCGAACGATAATCGAACAGTTGATGAGACGCCAACATTTTTTTTGTACTGTAATCGCACTCGAGTTTTCTCGAAGGGTGAGGCTGGAAAACTTTTTTCCAATCAAACAAAAATCGATGGATTAGTGGTGTTTTTGTACAGGAAAAAAATCGCAGCGCGTGTGCAAACGAAAATCTGTTCTGTTGATCGACAAAATTCAGCAAGTTGGTATTGCTGATGAATGATTATCAAAATCGACATTGGTCTCTACTTGATGGGCTATTTGAGCTAGAATTGAACGAGGGTTCCTGGCAGCAACGAAAATTTCTGATCAAAAATCTATTGCTGTATGGCCAGCTTTACAGACTGAATGTAAACAAAGCAATGTTTACTCTGGCTGGGCCTGTAATAGCTCTCACTCAAAGGAAGAAAATACATACAACTGCCTGTCTACTTTTTCTAGGACAATGATCCAAAATATACTGAAGCAAGATCATAGCAGAGACCAGGAAACATACTGTTTTCTCATGACAGGCTTTCATTAACAAAATCAAGTTTATTGCAGTATTGTATGGCTACTTGAGAAAGATCAGCTAAGCACGTAGTCTGAAATTGCTCATAATCCGTTAGTAATAGTCACTGAATTACCTATTCATTGCAGCCTTCAAGTGAAACTGTCATTACACGTTCTGTCATGAACATGTTGGTAAAAGCTAACTGTATGTTTACATAAAAAATAAATTGCTTTGAATCGGTGGAAATGATTTGTTTTATCAATCATACTTATAACATTTGGTTTTGAAGTCTTGAGCTTGAATACTGTATATGGGAAGTACTCTCTACAGAGCTTGCAGATCACAGGACTAAAGGTTACATTTTACAAAGTGTTAGGACCCACAAATATAAAGAAAACTGCCCAGTTAGGTGATAATCTCATGGTCTGTAGGTGGCTTCCAACCTTGCCTGCTAGTCCTTGTTGGGGAAACATTCAGGCAAGTTAGAAAGTTGTATGCCATGGTCAATGTTTCCCCAAGGTTCTAGCTTCCTCTTTCCTACTCTTCCACATTCTCTTTTTTTCTTTGAAATTACTTTTAAGAGCTGTACAGCTTTCATGTCTATAGAGTGGAATGCTGAGAGCTTGCCGTCTAAAAATTGGGATCGGTTTTGGCTATAGGTGTGTCCTAAAGGACTTTATTTTTGAGAGCAGCAGAAGGGAAATTTCCCCAATGGCATATAGTGATTTGTCTCCAAAGCCACCATGAAGTCATAACGTACTGAGCAGTCATGTAAAGACCAAGGCAGGTTTCCAGAGGCGGGAGTTTAGATGTTCTGGAGACGGAATGGGTTGGGTTAAAGTAGGTAGGCTAAACCCACCAGCATTTACTCTATATCTGAATTATCACTTACTCTGGATTGGTTAATTCACCTGTGTACTTCAATATGCTCATCCATTTCCTCATTACATTTATTTCCCCGCTGTGACTATGAGACCATGACTGTTTGTGCACCCGATGGCAATGTTTTTGCAAAGCGGCCGTTATTTTGAAGCTTTCCCTGTAATATATCTTATACTAGAGTTTATCCGT